GTTCGGGAACTATCTATAAAGCCTAAGGGCTATATTTATTTCAAGTGCAAGCAAAGGTCCACCCGACTATTAAGCCCAAGGGCTACCCGAGTTCAAGCGAATTCTCATTCGGGGACTACCTATGATGCCTAAGGGCTAACTTTATTACGAGTTCAAGAAAGTACTCACTCGACTACTAAGCCCAAGGGCTACCCGAGTTCGAGAAAATTCTCACTCGGGGACTATCTACGAAGCCTAAAAGAGCTAACTTTATTTCAAATTTGAAACCTTGCTCTCACTCAACTCGGACTCGGGAGTCCCAGTGTCCGAGCTCGCATCAAATCAATCCAAGCTTAGCTCGAGGATTAACAAAGAACCTTAAGAGGTGTTATATTAGTCGATTAAAACCTAAGGGTTTATTATGTTCCGAGTCCAGTATTCGAACTAATTGTTAGAGTTATACACTCGATTTTTTCACAAATGAAGGTAGAATGGAATTCAACACGAATCGAAGATAAAATAGAGAAATTCTTATATTAGCAAAAGATGTTTACAAAGCTCGCGAGGGGCCCTTACACAGAAACAAAGAATCAAAACAAAAGCCAAAACCTAATCTACTTTTGGGGGCATATCCTCGAGAGCGACATCTTCGGGAACCTCCTCCTCGGGGACTCCATCTCGATCTTTAGAGAAAATTATGGCCTGGTGAAAAACTTGGCGAGTATGAGTCTTGTCAGCACAACTATTGTGAAGCCACTTCTTGAGACATTTTACCTGTGTGAGATGCAAAAGTAAGTAGATGATAGTGCCATCTCATTCCATGGAAAGCAAGAGGAATGAAGCGCCACACCAGGTTGAAGTTAAGAGAGATGAGCAGCAGTGTAAAGTTCACGTATCTTCTGATACGGGAAGAATTCGGTGCCCTTCTCTCGTTGTTTCGAGCCAACAATAACAACAACTCAGTATAATCCCACTTAGTGGGGAAAAGCTTTGAAAAAGGGAGCCATGGCATAATTGACAAAGTTGCTATCATATGACCTTGTGGTCACGGGTTTGAACCATAAAAATAAGAGATTAGAGGAGGATATAGGAAAGGGCTAAAGGTTGTTGAAGAAAGAATGAGTGTAATTTTTGTTCAAGTAACCCCTTATTTATAGAAAAACGACGACGAAACCGACGGCGCATTCAATGCTATTGGGGAAATAGACCGGCGGTACATTCAATGCTTCTGGGGAAATGAACCGACAGGACGTTTCGATCACTTCGAGCGCCTACGTCACGAGCATGACATCATCGCGAGAGGCTCAGGAAAATCGAGGTTCGAATCATTTCATATCATTTCATTCTAAGAAATGCTGGGACTATCTATATGCGGTCAACATCGAGGAGTATAATTTTGAAGTCTTAAATTGGGCAATAGGCCCGAGTCCGGGAGATTCGAAGTGGGTGTCGTCTCTGGCTAAGGGACGCCTACCTCGAGGAAGCTGACCGAATGCCTGGCACGGACTGCATCGAGGGCAGCATTATCTCGACGTCAATCAAGAAAGAGCGGGAATTTCTCAAGGACACGTGGACCTGGGCATTAATTATAGGATAAGGGTTGTACGAAATGGTACAGGTCCATACTAGGCCGTTATACACCTGTACCAATAGAATTCTTTACCTTTATGAGCAAGGTACTATATTGGGGTTTTCCCCTCCTATATAAAGGGGACCCCAATCATTTCGTAAGGCATCAGATCATTCATTGCAATAGAACATTCTTATTCTTCTCTTGTTTAACGTGCTCTCCAGTTATTCTTCAGCTTTATTGCCTTTTCTTTATTGTTCATACTTTATTACTCTTAGTTGACCTCGAGGTCCCTGGACAGTCGAGCTCGAGGCCCCCTACAGTTCCAACAACATCAATTTGGTTCCTTATTTCTTCTTACTTAAGCTTAATATTACTTGTATAATCACTAGTATTAGAATATATCACGTATCTTTAAAACCACAAATTATCTTTAATTGTTACTCACATTTTTCGAGGTAAACACTGCATGCCTTCGAAGTTTGGTTCGGATTATAGCTCATATGATCGAGATATAGAGTACATTACATTTCAACTTCCTTATCTTTAGAAGATTTCAAGTTGATCGTCATATTAGAATGTTGTAATATGTAAGACATATAATAGCTTTTTTAAAATCAAATTATGGTATAATGATCTTGCCATTTATGCATTTTAAAGACAAAGTAATAGTAGTATAATATATATCGTTAGGAAGGTTATATGTTTTGAAAAGAAATATGTAAGTGCTGAAATTGAATTGTACATAAGCACTTGCATGGAAGAAAAGTTATTAACTTCAATATAAATCTCTTAGCCGAAAAAAAAACAGAGATGATAAAGAATTGAAGGGAAGTACAGAGTAATTCTCATAGGAGTAAGGAAATAAAAAAACTTCTTGAAACTTATTTTTATACAAAGAAAATCAAAGAGTTAATTGATTAAGAAAATATTATATTGGATCATCAATATGAATTCATATTTCATTGAAAAGGTATTTATATATATATATATATATATATATATATATATATATATATATATATATATATATATATATATATGTAAATACCTTTTCAAGAAATTATTGAAAAGGTATTTATATATTTGTAATTAGTTAATCGATAAAATTAATTTTTGTACACGCACATATATGTGTGTGTATATATATACACACACATTAACTAGTTATACACACACATTAACTAGTTATTTTTGTACACGTTCATTGAAAAATCTTATGACCGCGCAAAACGCGGACAAACTAACTAGTTATTTATAAAGTAGGGGCCCCAACCCCAACCGAACCATCAATACATGCTAACAAGTTTAGAATTCATTCTAATATGTACAAACTACAAAGAAAAGGTATCTAGATGGTAGATATTTCTCTTCTTTAATTATTTTTCATCTTTTTATTACAAATAAAAAAGTTCAGTACTCATATGTTTGGACTAAGCTTTTCTTCCTTTTACCTCGTTTAGAGGTCGTTTGGTAGAGTGCATTAGAAAAAATAATGCATGTGTTAGTTTTGTGTATTAGTAATACTTTGTTTGGTACACTTTTTCAATCTGTGTATAACTAATACAATCATTAGTTGCACACCCTATTTGATATTATCTTATGTATAGCTAATACATAGAAAATCATGGCATTAATAATACCAAATTTATTAATGCATGCATAAGCTTGGTTATAGACAAAATCGCCCTTTCAAAATTTATGCTTGATTAAAATTCTTTCTTACCTGTTTTCATTAATGTAAAAATAAGATACAAGTTGAATATTTGCCTTTTCTAAAAAATTTCACCACGTTTTCTAATATTAGATTCTTTTAATTAATCATTTCTTATATTAAAATATCATATTTAAAAAAATAGTAAAAAATTGCAATTTCTTTTCTGAATATTAAAGTACTTTTCTCTACAATCGTAGAATTCTTCCTCTTCCCCTCCTGTGAAGCCAATTGCTCCATGGACATATCGTCTTGGATTAGCAATTGCACAAACTCTATAAACCAAGTTAATATAATTATCCCTGAAGAATTTGGAGGGTATTTTTGTAAACGAATAAAATTCTAAAAAAATTATGCAGTGCTTGTAATTTTTAATACACCAAAACAAACTGTCGATAAGAAATAATCTCAGCATAACTAATACCAGCATAACTAATACTACCATTACTAATATACTCTATTCAACACTATTCGTATACATTTTTTTTTTGTTGATAATTAACTATTTTATTGATCACCAAAGTTGTTTTTACAAAGCCATAATCAGTTAACTCAACTAACTATCTGAAAAGAAAGGATCTATCATCTACCTCTAACTGTCATCATAGGGAAAACTAGAATAAACAGGATTGTAAAAAAACTCCTATGTCTAACAAGTGACCTAGTACTACACATATAAGTTATTGATCACCAAAGATGTCTTTACAGTTAACTCAATTAACTATCTGAAAAGAAAGGATCTATCATCTACCTCTAACTGTCATCAAAGAGAAAACTAGAATAAACAGCATTGTAAAAAACTCCTATGTCTAACAGGTGACTTGTACTACACATATAAGTTACTTGTCTTGCAATATTGACCCATTCTTTGCTCTTCCTCAAAGATCCCTTAGTTTCTCTCTATCCATATAGCATGCACTGTCTCAGCGTATAGTATCTTGAAGATCTGTGCAGCTGAAGACTTCCCTTTGGCATTCTCAATAGTCCATTGTTGGTATTGCGCCCATGCAGTTAGTATGTTTGTTCTCTTCTTCACTCATGTCATTACACTTTTCCATACCTGCCTCGAGAATCTACACTGTACAAATAAGTCCAGCATAATATAGTTTTCTTGTTGTTCATAAAAATTTTTGCTTACTCTCCTCTGAACAAGTAATAATAAAGGAATTCAAAGATATATGAAAGGCAAATTACCATAGGTATAACCCAGCAACTGCATCAGTTTTTTATCTCTTTCTTCCTGCACCATTCCTCACAGTATAAAGAGCTTTTGCCTAGATTTGCTTGTAATCCAGAAGCTGAAGAAAACTGAGTAAAGCATTGATGAATACAGTATACTGACTTCACATCTCCTCGAGCAAAGATCAAGAGGTCATCTATAAAACTCATATGTGTAATCCTCAGCTTAGCACATTTGGGGTAATATTTGAAAGCATTCTCTTCTTTCAGGCTATTCAATTGCCTGCTTAAATATTCCATTGCTATGGCAAAGAGTAAAGGGGGCATTGGATCCCCTTGCCTCAAGCCCCTTGCAGCATCAAAGGGTTCAGCTGGTTCACCGTTGATTAATATAGACTATAGAGTAGTAAATAGTTCTAAGACATTCCATTACCCAAGCTATGAATTTCGCAGGGAAAGCCAGCTTCTCCATGACCTGCTCCAGGTAGTACCATTCGACTGAATAATATGCCTTTTGCAGGTCTATCTTTATCATATATCTGAGAGACATATGTTTTCTAGTGTAGGCCTGGACTAGCTTATGATCCAGGATGATATTATCTGAAATTTTCCTGCCTGGTATAAACCATGATTGTGCCTCACAAATAATATTAGGCATCACCTTTTGTAGGCTTGAAGCTAATATTTTTGAGATTATTTTATGCAAAATAGCACAACATGCAATTGGTATATATTGTCATGCATCGCGATCGCTGTTTGGACATCGTGTCCGCAAGGAAGAGATTTATGGGCATGGCTGGTTGGCCTTCACGATCGCAAGGCTTTTTCTGCGATCACGAAGAGGAAGGATTTGGGCAGAACATGGATTTAATTCGGAACTTAGCTCATTTCTCTCATTTTTCACTTGGGTTGGCCGACTTTGGAAGCTCTTGGAGGGGAGATTTTCGTCATCTATTGAAAGGTAAGTGATTCCCACTTATTGTGATATAAATACATGGATTATATGTGTATTTTAACATGATTAAGTATCGATGTCGACCCCTCGTCATTACTTCTCCGGGGTTTGGCTAGATACTTACTGGGTACGCATTGATTTATGTACTCATGCTCCTCTCTGCACTTATTATGCAGGTATATCTCTGATGGTCATTTGGTGCAAGGGCGCAACTATTGAGGGGACTTTAAGGTGAGCTGCATTCCAGGATACGATCCGCAGCACACGCAGTCTCCATCATGTTCTTTTATGTTATCCTATCTATTTACATTCTAGACAGATATTGTATTATTATTGTATTTCCTAGTAGATGCTCATGCACTTGCGACACCGGGTTTTAGGATATTCTAGTAGATGTTAATACTTTTGCATAAATATTGTCACCCTTTTATTTTATATCTTACTAATATTGTATGTATCCATAATTTTAAATGCATTAAATTATTTATTTAATAAACTTTTGATTTCAAAAGTAATAAAATGAATAATTATTTAGATGGTTCACCGTTGGCTTGCCTAACAGCGACGTTGGGCGCCATCACGACCTATAATAGGTTTTGAGTCGTGACACCTTCATTATGAAAGGATTTTCTGCCTTAGGGATCAATGTAAGTGATGTACAGTTGATTGCTCTGTATAGTTTCCTAGTTGTAAAGAAAGCTAACACAACTTTAGTCACCTCTTCCTTGATTATATGCCAAGTCTATTTGAAAAAGACTACATTTTATCCATCAATACTAGGGGCCTTGTCATCACCAATAGAGCATAGGACTTCATAAATCTCAGTAGTAGTGACTGCCTCACACATTGCCAATTGTTGTGGGTGGTTCAAATTTGATCCTTTCCTCATTATCAATATGTTATAGCAGGCGGGGTCTGAACTGAGGTTCCCATCAGATTTTTGTAGAATGATAAAATTTCCTCCTTTATAGCCATTGTGTCAATTAGATTGCCTCATAATTTTCATTAAGCTTTAGTATTTGCTTCCTATGTGTTTTTTCCTTGATTGTTGTTGTGAAGTACTTTGTCTTAGAGTCTCCCAATTTAATCCATCTAACTCTGGATTTCTGTCTCATCACATTTTCCTCTAGTAAAGACCATTTTTCTAGAGCCTTGATTGTCTCTTTCTCCTTTAGCCGCAGTTCATCAGTGAACTGTGTAGATATTCGTTCTTGTATAAGCTTCAGTTGTTGTAGATATATGTCAATATTTTGGGATATATATCTGAATTCTTCCTTGTTGAGATTTTTACACAATGGTTTCAAGGCCTTCAGTCTCAACCATATGTTATTCAAGGGGTTGCTATCCAACTTTTGTTGTCATACCTCTTTGACAATTGTCTCAAAGTTTCTACGTTTATCCAGACGTTAAAATACCTGAAAGGAGTTTTGGCCGCATTTCATGCAGGCCTCATGTTTAATAACATTGGTGAGTGATCAGAGATGAGTGGAGTATCATATTCTACTTTAATATGGCCCCATCTCATCATCCAATCACCATTGCACAATGCTTTATCAATTCTGCTACACACTCCATCAATTCCTTGTTGTTTACCCTAGGCTAAGTATGCAGTAAGTCTTTGATTTCACTGGCATTGATAGGGATGCCTCCTATTCTATCTATAGAATGTAAATCAACACTAAAGTCTCCACACACTAGTCAAGATAGGTTAATTGAAGAAGCAAAGTTATTCAATTCATTCCTAATTGATAATCTCTTCTCCACTGTATTAAAATCATAGACTATTGTCACCAACTGGTTTGTTGCATTTGCTATGTCTATGGCCAAACAATGGACCATTTGATTTGCCTCTGCAAGTAGGTTCACAGTATAAATGCTTCCGTTCCATACCATAACCAGCTTCAACGCCTCTATAACACCTCATACCGATGTCGAACGATCCAAAACTAATCAAACAACGTGCAAACCAATCAAAATATACTTGAATACTCATAAATTAACAATTTATAACAATTCCCAAGTCCACTCGAGAGGTAAAAAAAATTAACCCTCGAGCCCACGTTCCCGGATTTTGAAAATTTTCTAAGATAATTACGACCCATAGCACCACAAACTCAAATATATAATTTAGTCTAAATTCCATGTCAAATTTCCTGATCAAATTCCAAAAATACAAATTCAAGGTTTTCTTGCAAAATCCCGCATGTTCTACAAATGGAGCTCACTCCCACGGGAGTTACTATTTCATTGTTTTCTCCATTAGGGTTATAGCCTTATCGGTCAATTCCATTGATTTGGCTGTTGTAGCTCCACTTAGCTCTAATTTCTTGTAGAATCCTCTTGCTTCCTGATCACGCCCAACTATGCCTTATAAAAAGGACTAAGCGGTCGTTGCAAATATAATCCGGTTTACAAGTCCGGAGTCAAATACCACAGAGAACTAAGGTTTAGCTACAGCTGTTCACTATCACCAAGAAGACAAGCTCGAACAATTGCTAACTTATAGATATTAAGATTCTTGTATTTAACTAATTAACTAACAAATTAAAATAGTAAATTAACAACTAACGATACTGAGGGTTAGAGAAAAGATTAAGGAGGTCTAGAGTTATGATTTCCCCTATTGTCGGAATCCTTCCCGCTATGTCTTCTATAATTTTGCCTAAGTATTCTCTACCGATCATGAGCACTCTTATTACCGTAAATCTCTCCCGAGTAATTACGATAATTTACTAGACGCACTCTCCCGAGCTACGCTAGCTGGCTTTTAATACAACTCACTTCAGATCCCACCCAAGGCTTCGTTATCCCTAATCCCACCTTTAAACCCTTGGTTATTGATCCCTCATATACTCTGGGAGTGGTGTTGTTCAACAATTACCTAAATATGCACTCTCTCCCGAGTTATGCATACTAAATAGGCACAGCTGATTGAGAGCTCTTCAATCAACCAGAATATAAACGTAGTTGAACAAATAGAGAATAGCTATGGCTCAATTATATAAAAACATAACAAGAATTTATCCTACAAAAGGTTCTATCAAAACTCTAGATAACAAATTAGCTATTCATAATAGTATGTAAAACTACAATACTAAAAGTCATAACCAACAATGAAAAATAGGAAGAGGAAGGAAAAAACTCGTAGAAGAATTCTCCGCCTTGCTCCCAATGTGTTCTTGCCTCCAAGGGTGTTGTCTAACCCTAAAGTAGTGTCTCCTGCCTCCTTAGGTCTAATTTGTGTCCAAAATATGTCCCCCTCCCTTTCTTGGCCGACTTCCTTGGTTTAATATAGGGTTTAGGGCTTAAAATCCCATGTTTTGCACATAAGTCCCTGAAAATTCCGCCTCCTGCCGCGGTTTTGCCGCGGTCGCGGTGGAACCGCGGCCAAACATGCCCTCTGATTCTTCAGTTGTCCGCGACCATCTTCTACCGCGGTTCTGTCGCGGTTGCGGTGGAACCGCGGTTTTTCACCCTGTTTCATTTGAAAATTGGAAAAACGTAAAACATGAAAGTTGTAGCGCTTTGAGTTAGCTTTCCAACTATATATTGTGCAGCCCAAATGGAGTTCTGAGCAAAAAGTTATGTCTATTTTACTAGACAGTGCGCAACATGCCTCCTCAAGTCTTCGTTCGTACTTAATTATCAAATTTGACCCCCGAACACGATCCCGGCTTAATTTCTTGAGCTTTTACTCAGACTTCAAAGCTTCAAATCACTTAAATTCATTTCATAACATCTATATAGCTCGGAATCACACCTACAAGGCATAAAACACACAATTAGTGCAAAACACTAGCGATTAAAGCGCAAACTCAATTAAAGTGCAGTAAATTCGAGTGTAATAAGCGACTAAAATATGCAATTATAGCCTATCATCAGCTAGCCCAATAATATTGGACTTATATAATTAATCCAATTATATTAGCCCATAATATTTGTTTGGACTAATATATCTTGAATTTAAAATATTGTCCAAATTATTTCACGCACTTAATTCCGATAAATTTTAAATGCCTACAAATGTCTCCTACTTCAAGACTTGCCGGTCATAGACATGTCGAACGTAAGACTTGGATTGAAGTATTATGAAGACATGAAATGAGATGATTTTGAAGCCCCAATTTACTAGTCTAGGCAATTTTGTAACGAAAATCTTGTCAGTTGCTTGAAATTTGCTTATAATAGAAATTCATCTTTTAAGATGACAATGGAAAGCCACACAAGCTTGAAACTTTTGGCACTTGAACTTCAACTTTGCCAGTGATTTCCACTTTTTTTGCGTTTGGAATTCTTACTTATTAATCCTTTGGAGTTGGAGTCACACGTAAGCTCTATCTTTAATGAACATGCACAGATACTCCTTTATCACATAGTTTAATGGCGAACATTTTGTATTTCGACTCTAAACCAAATGCTTTGGCCGACTTCTATTCAAACACGGAAGAATCAACTACCGAGTCCATACCGGAAAGAGCCGCCTCCTTTAACATGGTCCCACATCGGACATGAATTATTATTGCTTCCACTCCTAAATCTATATAAACCCCTTACTCTCATGTAGTTTGAGCATTAATCTTTGATTCTTGCAACCTGCTCTGAAAAGCGGTAACGAGAAGGTAAATTTTTTACTTCTTTTCTCTTGTGTTCTCTTTTCTTTTTTTTTTTTTAGGTCAAACGAGAAAGATATTTGCGCAAAGATCCTTAAAAGCTCGTGGTCAAGATCTTTAAAAGTTCGCGGTGAAGACTTTAAAGTGCGCGATGAAGACCTTTAAAAATTTGTGGCGAAGACTCTTTAAAAGCTCACGATGAAGACCTTAAAATTTGTGGCGAAGCCCATTAAAAGTTCGTGCGAAGATCCTTAAAAGCTCGTGGTCAAGATCTTTAAAAGTTCACAGTGAAGATCTTTAAAAGTTCGCGGTGAAGACCTTTAAAAGTTCGCGACGAATACCTTTAAAATATGTAAGACCCTTAAAAGCTTGCGCAGAGATCCTTAAAAGCTCGCGGTCATGAGCTTTAAAAGTTCACAATGAAGACCTTTAAAAGTTCGCGGTGAAGACTTTTAAAAGCACGCGATGAAGTTTTTTAAAAGTTTGTGGCGAAGACCCTTAAAAGCTCGCGCAGAGATCCTTAAAAGCTTGCGGTCATGAGTTTTAAAAATTCACAATGAAGATCTTTAAAAGTTCGTCGTGAAGACTTTTAAAAGCACGAGATGAAGACTTTTAAAAATTCGTGGCGAAGACTCTTAAAAGTTTGCGCAGGGATACTTAAAGATTTGCGACGAAGCCCATAAAAGTCCGCGATGAAGAACTTTAAAAATTCGAAGCGAAGATCCTTAAAAGTTCGCGATGAATACCCTTAAAATTTGCGGCAAAGACACATAAAAGTCTGTGCAAAGATCCTTAAAAGCTCGAGGT